CCGCAATCATGCAAACGATTGCGTTAATAGGGTTTCCATAACATTCAACTACTTGGGTTACCATAAATGAAACAACTAGGTGATAATCCTAGGGTTATCCTAAAATATAGACTAACCTCTGTTACGTGACGCAAGAGAAACATACTGGCGTGGAAAGTAAAACAGGCAAATCAACAACCTTGTATTTCGTGTAGATTTTCTAAAATCCCAATCGATTTCGAGGGCAAAACGGGTCCCCCTTCATCAGGAGCAAAAAATTCTGCAAAAGCAAATGCCAATCAGATTTATACCCTACAGGTGACCAGTGGAAGAGCCGACAGTGACATCTGTCGGCAGAAATAGTAAAGAAAAATGAAGGTTTAAGTTAGTAGAATTTTAAAGGCATTGTCAAAACTGAATGGGAATTAAAGTCATTGACTATTGACATAGTCGTTGAAATTATAGTACGCATTAAGCAATACAATTACAAAGGCATTAGGCAAGACTGGATTGGAATTAAAGTAGTTGATTGTTGATTAGACTGGATTTGACTAATTTTAATCCAGTCTTGCCTAATGCCTTTAAAATTCTACTAACTCAACCCTTCATTTTTCTTTACTATTTCTGTCGACAGATGGTGATATCGGCTCTTCCACTGGTCGCCTGTAGGGTATAAATATGATCAATGTTCGCTTTCTCGCTTTTGTAGAATTTCTTGCTACTGATGAAGGGGGCTGGTTTTGCTCTCGAAATCGATTGGGATTTTACAAAATCTACGCCGAACGCAAGGTTGTCGATTTGCCTTTTTTACTAACCTCTGTTACGTTTAATATTCGATAAAGAAACTTGCAGAGAGCTGGCTGGTGTTTCCACCAAGCAAGAGCCATTCATTGATTGCATACTGCCCGTTGGTGCCCAAATATGCAGCCAATTTTTAATATTTGATGCATAGATCTTTAATAATCTAATTTAATTCACATATATTTTATCAATAATTATTTCATAAATATTTTTTACTGAATCTTTTGATGGTAGTTGTAAATGATGAGTTACGTAATGTCAAATAAGATTGCTATGAAAGAAAATTTTTTTAGCTGATTGATAGCAGCCTGCAGTTATCTTCCTATCATTACATTATCTCCAATCGGAACAAGCAATTAAATAATTTTTGGAATAATTTTCAGAAAATGCAAATTAATTGAAAGCATTAATTATACAGTCATTTATGCATTCAGAAATTGTATACTCCGAGGTGGTTAGAATAGAAGGAGGGAGGATTCACAGTTTTCTCCACTATCGGGGAATGAAACCTTACCTAACAAGCAGGGTCCATGTTTTTAAAATCAAAACATTACATTAACATTACGGCAGTAAAACGTATGTTTTCTAAGCTTGTTCCATGCATGTATTATCCAGAAATAATATATTAAATTTATAATGAAATGCCTTGCTATTGTTGATTTTTTGTTTTAAAGTAATAAAAATGATATCATTTACTACGTACAGAAAATTATTAAGAAATAGTTCAAAATCTAGGTGCATGTGTATAACATTAAAGCCATTAAAAATGATGTTTCTGCATATTTCAAGGATTTATTTAGATTTTATTAGCCACCTGTTGGATGTACTTTTTAATTTTTCCTTTAAGAAGTAATATTTCTGATTTGTTCATGATATTAACATAATTTATTAAGGAATCATTTCATATACAAATGTTTAAGTAATAGGAAAGAAAGTTCAGCTTTAAGTTGCAATACGCTAAAACAGAAATCCACATATACGAGAGCTATCCAGAAAGTAGATTACGTTTTGGAATAAAAAAATAAACAAAGTATAGGAAACAAATTTTATTATATACAGATGAAAGCCACACTCAAATACTACTTTTCTACATAGTCACCATACAAATTAAGGCATTTATCGTAGCGATGTACGAGCTTGGAAATTCCTTCGTCGAAAAATTCAGCCGCCTGCGCCTTCAACCACTTCGTTACCTCTTCTTGCAGCTGTGCGTCGTCATCAAAACGCTGCATAGCCAGCCACTTCTTCATTGCTGGGAATAGGTGGAAGTCGCTCGGTGCCAGGTCGGGACTGTACGACGGATGAGGAAACAACTCCCACTTAAAAGATTCAAGAACTTTACGAGTGACATGCCGTGTGGGGCCGGGCGTTGTCGTGAATCAACAAGATCTTAGAGCTCAATATTCCTCTGCGCTTGTTTTGAATTGCTCTTCTGAGTTTTTGGAGAGTTTGGCAATACCTTTGAGAGTTTATTGTAGTGCCTCTTTCCAGGAAGTCCACCAAAATTACACCTTTTCTGTCCCAAAAAACAGTCGCCATCATCTTCCTTGCCCACATTGTTTGCATGCATTTCTTGGGTTTTTGGGGAGAACTTGTGTGCCCCCACTGCATTGATTGCAATTTCGTTTCACAGTTCACATGTTTCACCCATGTTTCGTCACCAGTAATGATGCGATCGAGTAAAGAGTCACCATCCTTATGGTAAGCGTCCAAAAAGTTCAACGCTGCAGCCATTCGCTGATTTTTGTGGTCCTCTGTCAAGATTTTTGGAATCCATCTTGCACAAAACTTGTGGTAACCAAGCTTTTCGCTGATGATTTCGTGCAACAAACTTCGCGAAATTTGTGGAAAACTCAAAGAAAGTTCCGTTATTGTGAAATTTCGATTTTCACGGACTTTAGCATCGACTTTTTCGAGAAGTTCGGCGGTCACTATGCTGGGTCTCCCACTTCGATCTTCGTCGTGAACATTGGTTCGGCCATTTTGAAATCTTATGACCCACTGACGCACTCCACCTTCAGTGATAATGTTGTCCCCATACACTTCACGAAGCTGCCGATAGATTTCTATCGGTTTACAGTTTTTGCAGTCAGAAACCTTATTACTGAGCGCACCTCGCAGCTCGCGGGATTTTCAATTAACGCAGACATTTCAAACCGTCACAGTATCTGAACGGAGCACAGCACGAACCTCTCACTAGCACGGCTAGATGCAGACTGAGCTGCGCAACGCTCTGACCCCAAGATGGCCGCGCTAGCCCCGCCCCTAGCGGACACAGACGGAAACGTAATCTACTTCCTGGATGGCCCTCGTATATATATATATATATATTTAATTTTTGGCTATTGCAGTTGTTGAGATAGCTAATTATTTGATCTAATTTCAGGAGACTGGTACTTGATGTAAATAGTATTTCATCTTTTTCATTTATCTAAAGCATTTATTGGCATATTTTAAAAATTTAAATAATTCTTAATTTCAGTTAAAAACACATTTTAACTTTTGTCCATTTATCAATTTTTAGAAGTTTTTAAGGGGAGGGGGGAAGCTTGTTTTTGTGGAAACTTGAGAAAAGTATTAATTTTGATTCGGCTTCATTAAATTAAAATTACTTCATGGAATCAGAAAATCTAAAATGCTAAACAAATAGAAATAAAAATAAACAGCAAACAGATTTGCACGATATATGTCAAAAGCAACAGCTAATAAGGGATGGTTAATTTAGATGGTTGCTCAGCTCAGCGCATCTCCCAGTTCCATTAAAAAAAATTAAAAGCTTCTTTAAATTCTATTCTAACTTAAATAGATCCTTTTCAGAACCAACAACCTTCTAACAACGAGAAAATAAATATTAATAAAATAAAACAGATTTATGTGGTTCAGTTATGTAGATATTTTACTTGCTTTTATCACTATACTGTCCAGAAATTTGGAAGTTTATGCAAAATAAAAAATGAATAATAATTAATACATAAAGAAAAGCATTAATTTATTAAAAACCTTTACAGTTCATAAAATAGTAACAATTAATTTCTTACTTTTAATGAAAATTATAAAATGAATTACCTAAAACGTTCAAATTGTATAGTTTAAATCCTAGCATACATCATTGCATGTTAAGGAACAAAGACACCAGTTATAAACACAAACATTAAACTTTATTTAACATATTTTGATAATTATTAAGTCCTTTTTTTTTCCTTCACTTCTAGAAAGAAAATTACATGACATTGTGATATATCTCAACATATTAAATTATATTAAAAAATCAATATTTACATGTAAAAAGTAATCCAGGAATCCTTTTAAAAAATCTGTTCGTGCATCCATATGCAACACAAGATCCCATGCTTCAAAAATGGAAAAAAAAAAAAAAAAAGTTGCAATGAGAAACTTTATTGCACGAGTCACAGCAGTTGCAGTAACATTGCGCTGAGGATTTACGGTTTGAGTTGAACCTTCCCTCCTCCTATTTTCTAACCTCCTTGGTATATTTAGCTAAAAAAGGGGGGAAGGGTGTAGCTCTTCAATAAATTATTTCAATACTTTGTCAACATTATGTGGATCAGAACATTATTGGCTTTATTACTTTTGATCTTTGGGTTAGGTTAGGTTATTTGAATATATACGTAACTAAAACATACAAAGGCTATCTGGGAAGGACTTAAGGAACAGGCTCTCATTTTTGTTGCATATGGGAAAAACGAGGAAAACAACTATGCAACCAGCCTGTTTACCTGGGATGGAACCTGATCGATCTCTGTGATTTTAACCACTGGTGTGCCTTTGATCTAGTAATCAGCCTCTGTCAATCACTACTAGGGATGGCCAAACTGTAACCCTAAATGCAACTTGCTTCGTAGCAAATGACAGTTTTATTTTTCAACTTGAAACAGAAATTTTGCTGTGGCATGACTAGTAATTTTGTTTCTCAAATTTTACATAAAGTAATTTTAAATAATTTCAAATTATATGCTATTTTTGTGATTTATAGCCGCAATAATACTCCTTTTATTCTATTAAAATTACTATTTTTATTCTTTTGTGATCAAAATATGTATGTGTTATACATATTAGTTTTCTCTTTCATCTAAAGATTCCATTTACAATTTTCCCCTTCCCCTTTCCTTTTCTTTTCCCCCTTTTTATTGTTGTTGCTGTAGAGACTTGAAAAAGTCTTTTTTAAAATTTTAATGATATTTTTTAATATGATATTTTAGGGAAAAAGAAAATAAAAATATACAAGCCTATGGATACAGGAAAGAAACAGCATATATTCTTAGTACCAGGTTAGTAAACTCATGAATAATTTTTTTTTCAGTATATTGAAAATTGATAATTATATGCTCAACAGTATTTTTCAAAAACTATTAAATGTGATCATATGAAACCCATTTATTAACCATAGACTGCAATATGATGTGATAACAGGAATGTGTAGTTCTAGTGGTATATCATGGCACTAGTTCTTATGCTGTCTAAATCACTGGTTCTCCAAGAGTGTGTACCTCGGCACACTGGTGTTCCATTAAAATTCTGGACTGTGCTGCAAGAAAAGGTATAAGAAAACTCCAAACACATAAAAAAAACAGGCTTGTATATTAAAAATTTTAGTACTGTTACTTATTAATCTTAGAGAACTGAAAATACTTGCAATACAAACTAAAAACGTAATTACTATATAATTACTACTATCTCTTGGTGATTGTTCATTGGTTTATATACAGTCAAAAGTCGTTAATCCGGAATGATCTATAATCCGGACCTCCAAGCTAAAAACTTTTTGCGCATGCGCCGCGTTGGCACATGCGCACAGGCGTTTTACGCGTGCGCGTAAGACCTTGACTACTGCGCATATGCGTGTGCGCAAGTGCAGAATACGTTTTCGCCTGTGCGTTTAATGTATAACGGACGGCGTAAGCTAAAATTATCTAATTATCTATTTCAGTTAATGTTAATGATTGCGTTGTTCCTTAATCTTCGAATTGGATCCCGCTTATTATTTTTTGCAGACTGTAAGAGCAATTTTATAAAAGTAAACTTGAACTTTGGATTATGTCAAATAGAATTTCTGATGCTGGAACTTCCAAAGGATCTACAAAACGAAAGTATGTTTCGATCTCCAACAAACAAAAAGTGGAATTACTGCAAAAAATGGATAAAGACATGAAGAATGTGACAGAGAGGTTAGTGAAAACGAAAAAATTTCGGTTGACAAGTTAGTCGGTATTCTCGGCACAGCAATTAACGAGACTTGAACGGCGGAACTTTGTAACTGAACAAGAAATTATGTCTTTTTATAGAATTAAAGAGAAAGTATTATCACATAAAATGAAGCAACTTAAACAATTTACATTGAGAGAAATGTTTAATAAAGTAAACAAATAAATATTAAGCTCTTTTTTTTTTTGTAAATTTTGATACCCTTTAGATCATAATTGTTCTCTATTTCATAAATTACGGTTTCATATTTTTAATTTTAGAATTTCTGCATGTTATCTTACGAGATTTAAACTGATGATCGATAATCCGGAATCGCCGAAGTCCCGACGAGTCCGGATTAACGACTTTTGACTGTATACAGTGTTAAGCCTAGGAAGTGATTGATATTTCAATGGTTCATTTATCATGCACTAAGGAACTAGGGATTTGCCGCTGTATTCCATGCAGCAAAACAGTGTGCCACAAACTGAAAAGATTTAAAACCCCTGGTGTATATCATGTGGCAACAATTTTTTTTCATTTGCTGAAATAAACTTTGAGAGATGGTGTTTTGCATACCCAATCTGCCTAAACAACATGAACATGCTATCATACTATACCTCACTGCTGAAGGATACCAAGCAGCTGAGGTGTTTTGCCATATGTGGGAATTGTGTAGTAATGCATGCATCTTGAAGATAACTGTTGTGAACTGGGAAAGAATATTTAGGGAAGGATGTGAATAAATGAGTGATTATTCGAATAAGGTTTCATGTATATACTTGGAAAGATGACCATAAAACTCTATTTGAAGAACTACTTTTTAAACTCGCTTTTGCTTTTAAAACTGTATCATTCGATGGTGTAGAAAAGTTTGATAATTCATAAAATAATAGTTAATCAATCATCAGTTAATGAATATAACTAGCTTCATGATAACGTGATTTTATTTTATTCACACACAAAAATATAATAGATAAATTTTACATATTAGTACATCGGCAGAATATGCCAGTGAAAATCCGCGCACCTCTCTTTTTCTCGGCCTCTCACAACTACTGTTTTGGTGAAGTTCTTTCACTGTGATAAAAGTCCACATTTGGTGAAGTTTGCATACTTGGCTTTTGTATCTGTTTTTTGAATCTGGCAATTCCTTTCCTGATTAAGGCCATATTTATTCTACAGAAGACTATTGTCTCAATGAGGCTATCCATGTGAATAGAGATATTGGATTAACCATTAAGAAAAATAAGCTTGAGACTTCAAGGAACCACATACTTTGGCATCAAAGAAAGTGGGCATCGTAAAAGGTCCTTAAGTATTCAGAAAAGGAGAATCCAAAAATTTTCTGTTGCTGGTTTTGCTATGGAGTGCATGGTTTAGCTAAATCAAAATTGAAACAAACAAGGAATGAAGAAAAAAACTGACATAAACATATGTGGAAACACAAAAGTCTTTTAAGTGTTTATGGCCTCCAAATGTTTTAGCCGGCTCCTGATCTGGGATGTCACAAAGTGTGCGTATAGCGAGTTTTCAGGATATTCATGGAGAGACAAAATTTGGACTTCAAAGCTTTAACTCAGGTACTGATATAAAGGCTGTCATCCATGAAAGGTTCAAAAGTATCCTTCAGAATTTTACATGGATGGCATTTATAGATTGGTCACATGACGAGACAAACATTTGACTGCCAATGGTGACTTCCGAAGAGCAAATGCTGTGACATTCGTCTTTAATGCCTACATATAAAATGTAATTAAATATACTTATTATTTTCAGTTATAATCTATAAATGGGTTTTAGTGATCAACCCATATATATTTTGATTTTTGACACTGTTAAATTATACTTTATCTCTTTTGTAAGTTATTTGTTGTTTAATATAAAATGGAGAAATAAATAAAAGTGTTTCTTATTTACTTAACAATTGCATTCATTTTTGTGATCAAAGATTTACCTTTTCATCCATGCTGGTGTAAAACATTACTGGAGTATCAGGCTTTGACCTTATTCATTGCTAAGAGTTTAAATATTTTAATTTTATGCTTTTATATTGAGCTTTGTTGTTTTTTATTCTTTTTAGTCATCAATATACAGTCTTATATCTTATCTGTTTAAAATAACATACCGAATAATGATTATTGGAGGTGCTATGAATCAGCATAATATTCATAAATCTCCAGGACTAGTGTTGAAAGTTTACCCTTAGAAAACCAAGGCCTTTGCTCACTCATTTGCTTGAAACCCTGTGTTGAGATCTCCCATAGAGGGCGTTGTAGCACCCCTCAACTGTGTGAGAAAAGTTTCGATTTCGGGGAGAGTTGGCGTGAGTTTTGAGAATGTAGTGTGAAGAGCTGTGTAACGCGTATTTACTATGTAACTGTACTAGGTAATATAATGTAATTAAATGTATTTATTCAAAATGTGGAGCAATTTTGAAGGAGCATACTTCACATTTTTTTTTGGAGCCACCAAGTGAGGAAGAGTCGATCTTGGAAGCTGTGGATTCTAGTGGTTTAGTTACAAGCTTTGTTTGGGAATTTGTGGAATTTTGCAGGAAGGTAGGCTTTGTTTTGATGTTTTGTTTGAAATTTGAATTATTGTAAAATGTCGGAATTACCTAAGTTGAGAAAGGAGCATAGCGCGGTTAGGTCTACGTTAACTAAGTTAATTAACAAAGTTGAAGCTTTTATTAAGGAAGATTCTAGCGAGATAGATGTTACGAATAAGGTAGATACTTTAAAGGAATTTCGAGCCCAAATAATAGATAAGGAAACTAATTTAAAACGATTAAACGATGAAGTGAAAAATCTTTGTAATTGTGATGATATAGAAGAGGAAATTACTGTGTCAGAGGAATATTCAGAAAAAATTATCCTCTGGAAACAAAAGATAACTAATGTAATTGATAGATTAATGAAAGATGAAATGAATATTAGTAACGTATCCTTTTCTATTCCCGCAACTGCTCAAGGTACACTAGAAAACCAAACCTTTAGAGAAACCAAAACAGTTAAACTTCCTAAATTGATAATCAGTAATCAGTTTGAATCATTATAATCGGTGATAAATATTACGGTGATCTGCTTCTTGGTTAGAATTTTATAACCAGTTTGAAAGTGCTATTCATAATAACAGTAATCTTACAAAGATAGATAAATTTAATTATTTAAGGTCATATTTAGAGGGTACGGCATCTAATCGTATAAGTGGTTTTGCGTTAACAGAAGAAAATTATGATGCTGCTTTGGATATATTAAAAGGTAGATTTGGTAATAAGAATAGTCTTATACAGACACATTTGAATGAGTTACTTAAAATTCCTATTATTAGAAGTATAAATGATTTAGCTGGATTGAGAAGGTTGTTTGACAAAGCTGATACTCAAATTAGAAGTTTAGAGTCGTTAGGAGTTGAAACAAAATCTTTCAGCACTTTATTGATTCCCATTTTGTTAGAAAGAATTCCAAAGGAACTTGTTTTAGAATTCAATAGAACATATCCAGATAGTGATTGAAATTTTAAGGATTTATGTACCTTTCTAGACAAAGAGATACGGTCTAGGGAAAGGACATATTTATTTAGTAGAAAAACTGAAAATTATCATAATTTTGGTAATGAATATAAAAGTAATTCTAGGAAATTTGAAAATAAAAAGCTTAATACTAATAGGAATATAACAACTGCTAGTTGTACTACAAATGTTAAAAGAAACTGCATATTTTGTAATAGCAAAGAACATGAATTTTGCCAATTTGAAAGTGTCGTAGAAAGGAAAGATAGATTAAAAAGAGATAATCAGTGTTTTTGCTGTTTCTCAAAATTCCATTTAGCGCGATTCTGTAAAACTAAACTCGACCCATGCAAGAACTGCAACAGCTTAGCTCACCATTCCTTGCTATGCGGAAAAAGTAATAAATCAGCTGAAGTCGAAGGGGAGAAAGAGAATTCAAACGCGGTGACTCAGTGCAGCTCCTCTCAGTGGGGTTCAAATGGCAGTGCTATACTGCAAACTTGTACTGTCTTGGCTTGTTCGAAAGGAAACTTTAAACTATGTCGGGTGTTAATGGATAACGGGAGTGAAAGATCTTGGATAACAAAATCTTCGGCAGATGCCCTTAGCCTTAAAACCATTCGAAAGGAAAGATTGTCATTTTATGCTTTTGGGTCTACGAAAGCCATAAATAAAACTTACAGTGTAGTAAAGTTAACATTGAGGAATAGGAACAATCCTAAGAAATATATTGAGATAGAAGCATTAGTTACTGAAATTATTACTGCCGCACCCATTGCATTTCCCGATATAAATATTCAAAATATTTTTGAGCAAAAGGGTTTAAATTTAGCTGAGGCATGCATGGATTCAGATGAAGGTATTCACATTTTAATAGGAGCAGATTATTTTTGGGACATCATTAAAGAGTCGAAAGTAGAAAAAATAACCAAAACGCTAAACTGCATACAAACTATTTTTGGCCTTACACTCCAGGGCATACAAAACAATCCTGAGGATAAAATTTGGGGAAACATATAGTATCAACAAACTTTTGCTTTGGCACCGATATGCAGATGCTATGGAATTTAGAATCATTAGGAATTACAGATTCTTATAAGTTATCAATTGCAGATGAGAATTTGATAAAACAATTTGAAGATAATTTGAGGTTTGTAGATGGAAGATACGAAACTTGTTTGTTATGGGGAATAAAGCCAACGGATTTAAAAAATAACTTTTGTCTCGCTAAAAAAAGACTTGAGGACTTAAAAAGCAATTTCGAAAATAATGAATGGTTGGCGAATGAATACAAAGACATAATTAAAGATCAGCAGAGTAAAGAATGTTCAAGAGATGCGAAGGAATATTTCATGCCACATAGAGCAGTTGTGAGAAGGATACTACTAAAGTTCACGTTGTTTTCAATTGTAGTTCGAAAGCGAAACTAAATCTCTCTTTGAATGATTATTTAGAGACTGGGCTGAATTTGAATCCCAATGTACTGGATGTTATTTTAAATTTTAGGAAATTCAAAATTGCATTTTGTGCTGACATAGAGAAAGCATTTTTGATGATTGGAATTTCAGAAGAGGATAGAAAATTTTTTAAATTCTTGTGGTTATCACAAAATAATGCATATGACACGTTTGCCATTTGGTTATAAGTCATCGCCATTTATTTTAAGTGCAACAATAAAAAAGCTCTTAAAACAGTACAGGAATAATAAACCCGAATGTGTTGAAATGTTAAACTCTTCACTGTATGTAGATGATTTATATTTTGGGGGAAATAGTATTGAAGAGTTTAAGCTGTCTTCTGAAGCTGTGTCGATTTTAAAGGATGCAAGTATGATTTTGCGAAAATTAAAAACTAATTCTGAGAAACGGAGGTCATTGTGGATGCAGAATGGACTTAGCCATGATACTTGTATTTCTGATTGTCAGTTGAAGGTTTTAGGCTTGAACTGGAACCCAGTAAATGATAAATTTTCTTTAGATATAGCAAGATTAATGGATAGTTTAAAGAGCTTTGAAGAGCACAAAGCGTTATGTCTGGCATGTTGCAGCAATGATTTTTGATAGAGTTGGTTTTGCAGCTCCATTTGTAGTTAGGATTAAGTGTTTGCTACAGGAAATTTGGGAACATGGTATTGGTTGGGATGAGAAATTGCCAGATGACCTTAAAATCAAGTGGACTAGCTGGTGTTCTGAGGTTAAATATCTGAAGGATATTTCAGTTCCGAGAAATTTATTTGTGTGTTGTGATAACTTAAATTAAAAAATGGAAATACACGTATTTTGCGATGCATCTCTTATAGCTTATGGTGCTGTAGCGTATTGTTGTTACTTAAATGATAAGGGTGACATTTCCGTGTCGTTTGTCATGTCGAAAAGCAGAGTAGCTCCTTTGAAGAAATTGACGTTGCCACGATTGGAACTAATGGCAGCAGTCATAGGAGCTAGAATAAGGAAAGTATCTGGGAGAGGTTTTTAAGGATCTTATTGATAAATTTGTGTATTGGACTGATTCCTTAATTGTCTTGTTTTGGATAAAGGGTTCTGCGAAACAATGGAAATAGTTTGTCGGTAATAGAACGGTTGAAGTGCAGGAAAAATCAGATCCCAGGTCTTGGAATCATTGCAGTGGAAAGGAAACTTCTGCTGATTTCATTAGTAGGGGTGTACCAGCTCAGTGTTTGTTGGAAGGTGATCGTTGGTGGTATGGTCCACAATGGCTAGAAGGAAAAGATAGTTTTTTTCCTAAGCTTCCACTGAAGGATATCCCACTGGAAGTAGTAGAAACTGAGAGAAAGGGATGCTTTGTGCATACTACTGTGATTAAGAATTTTGTGATTGATGAACTGCTTCATAAATATTCTTCTTGGACAAAACTTTTACGAGTTGTAGCTTGGTGTCTCAGATTTATTGCCAATGTGAAACGATCATCAGTAACAAGAACAAAATCAAATTTTCTCCAGACTGGAGAGCTAGTCGTAGCACATTCTTGGGTAATCAATTCTGTGCAAATGCAAGAATTTAGTGAAGAAATCGATCATTTGAAAAGGAGAAAACCAGTGAGTCCCCGCAGTAAACTCAATATGTTGAATCCATTCTTAGATGATGAGGGTATTCTAAGAGTGAGAGGACGACTAAGAAATGCTAGCATCGCGCAGAATGTAAAATATCCAGTCATTCTACCTAAATCACACTATATTACAGAACTGATAATACGATATTATCACTATAAATATCTTCACGGAGGAGCACAAATGCTCCATTCAGAAATCAAGCAGAGGTACTGGATTATTAATGCACGAGCAGCTATTCGAAAGATCATTCGTAAATGTGTAACATGCTGTCGACACAGAAGTGAGTTGTCATATCAAGCAATGGGCGATCTTCCAGCATCCAGAGTGAATCCCGCAAGAGCTTTTTCGAAATGTAGTGGGGATTTTTCGGGTCCTTTTTTAAGTTAAATCGAGGAAAGGGCGGTGTTCGGACAGTGAAGATCTACGTTTGTGTTTTCGTATGTTTTAGTACTAAGGCAGTACATTTAGAACAAGTTGGAGACATGATGACAGATACCTTCATAGCAGCTCTAAAACGATTTATTGCTAGACATGGAAGACCAGAGGAAATGTATAGTGATTGCGGCACTAATTTTATACGTGCCAACAGACAACTGAAATCATATTGTTCTGACCAAAAGGTAGCTAGATACTTAATAGAGGAAGTGGAATTTCAATCCGCCTTCTGCGCCGCATTTTGGTGGACTGTGGGAAGCCGCATAAAGGCTATAAAATATCATATGAGAAGAGCAATTGGTTCTCAAGTTCTAACTTTTGAAGAATTTGCTACTTATCTAGCAGAAGTCGAGGCATGTCTGAACTCAAGACCATTAGTAGCAATTTCAAGTGATCCAGATGATTTTTCTGTGATTACACCGGGTCATTTTTTAATTGGAACATCATTAAAGGCTATTCCGGAACCAGATGTGTGCGACGAGACACTAACACTTTGCAATCGCTGGAAACTAGTTCAGCAAATGTCGCAGTCCTTCTGGAGGAAATGGTCTAAGGACTATTTGACTCAACTGCAAGTTCGCACAAAATGGCATCGTGCTTCAGCATATATTAAAGTAAATGACTTAGTAATCATTAAGGAAGATAACACACCTTCCTTAAAATGGAAACTGGGATGTATCACCGAAATTTACCCAGGTAATGATTATAGAGTTCGTGTTGTAAAAGTAAAAACTGCTGATGGTGAATTCAAGAGACCCATTCACAAACTGTGTGTGTTACCAATAGACAGTTAAGTATCGTGAAAAATTTTGAACTTTAACATAATATTCATCGCTATTCATTTAAATTCTCTATGTTTTAATGTTATTGTACATATTTATGTTATTAATTTTGTGTAATTCATTGTTTACATTTATATGTTGTTTAGGCTTAGTATTACTCATTTATAAGCAAGAACTATTTAATCTAGAAATTATATGTTTACTAAGAAAGTAATAATTTCATGTAAGAGGTAGTTTGATGTCCTGAACGGTCATCCGTGGGGAGTATGTTGAGATCTCCCATAGAGGGCGTTGTAGCACCCCTCAACTATGTGAGAAAAGTTTCGATTTCAGGGAGAGTTGGTGTGGGTTTTGAGAATGTAGTGTAAAGAGCTGTGTAACGCGTAATTGCTATGTAACTGTACTATGTAATATAATGTAATTAAATGTATTTATTTAAAATGTGGAGCAATTTTGAAGGAGTATACTTCACATCTGATACACCTGAAATTCGTTTGAGATTCAGAACAATTTCTTCCTCCTTCCATTTATTAATGTACAAAGAGATGGGAAGGTTTTAAATGATATCGGTTATAACACTTTCCAGCATATACAACAGCATTCCTAACAAAAAAGCTTCCATTAGCCTCTGAGTGAGCACCTATAATTTAAAAATAACCTAAAGTGTCACTTTTAACCTAAAGATAAGGAACCATGAAAGAATCCTTTTATAACAAGACTGTCTTAAAAAAAGATGAACTGATACACTGCACCTTAGGTTATTGTGTACTTTAGGAGAAGGGTAGAAACAGAGCATGTGATCACGGCCATTTGGACAGCTGTTGGTCATTTGAATGAAAGGCCATCTCAAGTGTTTTAGTTGTGAAAAAGTTAAATGCAGAATTTCTGCTTCGGTTGCAGAAGTGCAAATGAATATTATGCTGATTCTTTTTGTTTTAGTTCCCCTTATATTCTTACATCTTATTTAACTATCTGCTTTCTTTATGCATGTTTGTATTTCATCTTTGTCACTGAATAAACTTCCAAAAATGATGTTATTTCAAACACTTATTTTCAATTTTTTTTTTAAAGAGGAACATATCAAACAGAAGTTTTCTGTTTTGCGCTTGAAACATCCTAGAACGAGTAAGAAACTTTTTTTCTCTAATAATTATTTTAACCATTCATCTGTAGTGCGAGATTAAAAAGTGTTCCAGTGTTATATTAAACTATTTACTGTATTGGTTTTCCTGCATATTTCTGCAAGTTCTGACTTTACGTTTTTGGTTTTATATTTGTTTTGCATCAAAGATTTTTAATTTTACTGTATATAATTTTTCACTTATAGAACTACTTTCTTTTTTCATAGCAAATTAATTAAAATGTTTAATACTGCTAATTAAATAACAGTCCCCCACCTGTCTTCCCCTACTGCCACCAACACGAGAGGAGTTTCAGCGTTGCAAGTGTTTTGAATGCTCTCTTGCCTCACACATACTACAGCCAAAAGTCATTAATTCGGACACCCATAATCCGGACCTCGAAGCTACAAACTTTCTGCGCATGCGTCGCGTTAAAGCATGCGCGTAAGACCTTTACGGCCGCGAATATGTGCGTGCGCAAAATACGTTTACGAATGCGCATTTAATGTATAACGAACGGTATAAGCTAAGCTAAAATTATCTAATTCAGTTAATGTTGCAGATTGCGTTGTTCCTTCGAATTGGATTCGGCTTTTTTTTTTTTTTTTTTTTCCAGACTGTTAGAGCAATTTTATAAAAGTAAGCTTGAGCTTTCGATTATGTCAAATAGAATTTCTGATATATATTTTTCTGAATTTCTGATATATAATAAAGGATCTACAAAGCGAAAGTATGTTTCGAAGTCCATTAAACAAAAAGTGGAATTGCTGCAAAAAATGGATAAAGGCATATCCTTTGTTTATCTAAACTTTGTTTATCTTTAACGCCGCGGCGCACAATGAATTGGAAGTTTGATCTATCAGCACTATCCTTATCTTCAAGGCAGATGTTTTTATTTTATTTGGCTTATAATTCCTTACTAAATGTAGTATTTCATCTCGATGTAATCTGTCTTTGATATGATTTAAATCAAATTCTTCATCATTATAATTCGCTTCCGATAGCGAAGAAAGTGACACAGGTTATTGAAAACGAAAAAATTTCGATTATCAAATTAGTCGGTATTCTCGACACAGCAATTATAGGACTTGAACAGCGGAACTTTGTAACTGAACAAGAAATTATGTCTGTTTATAGAATTAAAGAGAATGTATTATCACATAAAAAACGAAGCAACATAAACATTTTACATTGAAAGAAATGTTTAATAAAGTAAACAAATAAATATTAAGCTTTTTTTTTTTTTTTTTTTTTTTTTTTTTTTTTTTTTTTTTTTTTTTTTTTTTTTTTTTTTTTTTTTTTTTTTTTTTTTTTTTTTTTTTTTTTTTTTTTTTTTTTTTTTTTTTTTTTTTTTTTTAAATTTTGATACCTTTTAGATTGTAATTGTTCTTCATTTCATAAATTACGGTTTCATAGTTTTAATTTTATAATTTCTGCATGTCATCTTACCAGATTTAAACTGATGATCTATAATCCGGAATCACCGAAGTCCCGACGAGTCCGGATTAACGACTTTTGACTGTATATGCTTACAAACATCCTACCATTCTCCGAGATTCAAACCTTGCCCCATGGGTGCAGCAGTCAGCATCACTAAACCACACTGTTGGCTGGGTGGCTGACAGGAGATCTACTGTAAATCTTAGGGTAGGGGATCAAAATTTATGAGTTAATATCTTTAACATTGTTTATGGTGTAAACTTGCAATATTTTGACATATGCCATGTTAACACAAAAGTAGTATGTTATTTCTGCAGGTATTTATATTATCTAACAAAACATTTTTATTAATTTTCATTATATTTTTTTTCTATGTATAGGACTATCCATTTTGAAATATTGTTACGAATTTGGTATTTAAAAAGCTAATGTTAGTTCAATTATAAATTAAATGGTTTTATTTCTCGCGCAGTGCAGCGCGTGATGAATATTAAAAGAAAGCTAAGCCGGAAAAATTAAAAATACAAGAGCGCGTGCGTTAAATAAATAAATATCTCTTTTTGATTTCGAGAAAGTACTGGAAAATTCTAGCGCGTGATTTTAAAATCTTATAAAAAGGAAGAAAACATCTCAGTTTGTAGTAGTTGCTTAGTTTGTTGTTGTTTAGAAAACTGCCGTTGTTGATTATAGCGAATTCGCGGATTAGCGTTCTTTAGCTGAAGGCCTTGAGACAGAATATTGGTGACAAGAAACCGACCGTAAAGTGCTGGAACTGCGGTGCTGAAGGACACATCCGACGAAACTGCAAAACACCCCAGGGCACGGATGCTAAGACCGCTCCTAACGAACAGCAGGGAAACTAATTAGTGGCCATCTCGCGGGGCGGAGGTTGCCAGATCATGAAAGGCCCCAGTTTAAAGTGCTTCAGATTTCTGCAGTGAGAGGCGGCAGTAATGGACTTTTCATAATAGGACATATTAATGGAGTTCCCTGCAATATGACGATAGATACAGGAGCCAACGTTACCATCATCCGAAAAGATTTGGCTCAACAACTGGAAAGCAAACTTATCTGGACGCCGCCCTGCGTTACCCTACAGACTGTGTCCGGTGAGAAGATCAACATCGATGGAAAAGTAAATGTTAACATCACGTTTGGAAGTGCCGCTTACCATCACACGGCATATGTAGCAGAGATCACTGATTCTTGCATACTCGGATTGGACTTTCTAAGGAAATACAATTTTTCCTTGGACTTTAAAAATAACGAATTGCATTCTACATCTGAGGACATAGCGTTATTTGGAGTCAATGATGAAGAAGTTAAATCTGTCCATAAAATCATAGCACAAGACAATATCACAATACCGGCAAGAACAGAAATTTTACTTCCTGGATCCATAGCCGAAAACAGAAATTTCCGCTACGGCATCATAGAATATCCCAATAACTGTAATAGCCCAAAAGGAGTACTAGTAGCCTCAACACTCGTCGACCTATCCAGAACGGTTATCCCGGTGAGAGTCGCCAATGTAACTGAGAAGGCGAGAGTTATTAAGAAAGGTGAAGTGGTTGCAACATGTACTCCAGTAACCACCGTTGAAAGAAAGAGAGTAACATCCAAGAATCCGTGTCCTCAGAGAGAATTACATCGGAGTTATTGCAGAATGCGCAATTAAACGATAAAGAGAGGAATGCTGCCGATCGCGTCATTAAAGATCTTCAAGTTGTTTTCTCCTCCCGCTCGTCTTCTGACGTGGGTCGAACTAGTTTGACACAACATAGAATAGATACCGGCGATCATCCCCCGATCAATCAAGCAACATCCAAGACGTCTACCGTTTGCTAAACAGGAAGAGGTGCGAACACTGTTAAAAGATATGGAAGAAAGGCGATGTCATCGAGCCTTCAGTAAGTCCATGGGCATCTCCCATCGTCCTAGTCAGAAAGAAAGACGGCTCAACAAGATTTTGCGTCGACTATCGCCGGTTGAATGAGGTTACGAAGAATAACAGTTAGTTACCCTCTTCCTAGAATTGAAGACATTCTAGACACTCTTTCTGGAAGCAAGTGGTTCTCAACACTTGATTTAAAGAGTGGGTATTGGCAGGTAGAAATACAGCCTGAAGACCGAGAAAAGACGGCATTTACTACGGGACAAGGGCTTTGGCAATTCAAGGTGATGCCGTTTGGACTGTGTAATGCGCCGGCAACATTCGAACGTCTTATGGAGACTGTTTTGAAAGGCCTTTCCTACGAAGCCTGCCTGATATACCTGGACGACATCATCATCGTCGGAAAGAGTTTTGAAGAACATTTAGAAAATCTTAGGAAGGTGCTTCAGAAACTGAAAGAAGCCAATCTGAAGCTGAGTCCCGCTAAATGCAAATTGTTCCGAAAGGAAGTGACTTACCTGGGACATGTCATCTCTGCAGAAGGTGTGCGCACGGATCCTGAAAAGGTATCAGCCGTTAAATCCTGGAAACGTCCCGAAAATGTCCATCAGCTGAGAAGCTTCCTAGGGCTTTGCACCTACTATAGGAGATTCGTGAAGGACTTTTCTTCCATCGCAAGACCCCTTCACAAGCTGACAGAGAGCAACCAAAAGTTCTTGTGGACAAAAGAATGCGAGGATGCATTTAACAACTTAAAGGAGGCTTTAACATCTGCTCCAATCCTGACGTATCCTCAGCTCGACCGACCATTTATTCTCGACACCGACGCGAGCAATGAAAGTGTCGGTGCTGTTTTGTCCCAAGAAATAGACGGCCAAGAACGTGTAGTGGCATACTGGAGCAAGTGCCTGTCTAAACCGGAGAGGAATTATTGTGTCACCAGGAAAGAGTTGCTCGCTCGCCATAGTCAAAGCTGTAGAACAGTTTCCATCACTTATCTATACGGCAGAAAATTCCTGCTCCGCACCGATCATGCATCATTGACCTGGCTTTTAAATTTCAAGAATCCTGAGGGTCAAATAGCCAGGTGGATACAGAGACTCCAAGAATATGACATCACTATCCGTCATCGTAAGGGATCATCACACGGAAACGCCGACGCCCTGTCTAGAAGACCTTGCCAAGAAAGCTGCCGATATTGTTCCAGGGTGGAAGCGAAATACGAGCTGCTGACTCCGGTCGCAAGACAAATTACAACATCAACATCGGCTGATCGAGAACCGTGGAGTGATGATGAAGTCAGGAAAGACCAGCTGGAAGACCGCGACATTAAACCCATAATTGATTTAATGGAGTCATCAAACAGAAAACCTACCTGGCAGGACATTTCTATCTGTAGTCCTACAACCAAACAATATTGGGCACTCTGGGATTCACTTCACATTCGAAACGGCGTCTTATACCGGAAATTCGAATCGGATGATGGGAAGACGTTCCGATGGCAACTTATACTTCCAAGATCCCGCATTCCTGATGTCCTTAAAGAGTTACATAGCACCCCTACTGGAGGTCACTTTGGAATAATGAAGACCTTGCAGAGAGTTCGTGAGCGCTTTTACTGGAATAATGCAAAGGATGACGTGCAAAAGTGGTGCCGATCTTGCGATGCC